TAAAAGGATGCGGCTACCACTGGTTCCTGCTCCCAATGCACCAGGGTGAATTACCACTCCAAATGGCATTTTGCTTTAGAAATGATCACCTCTCTGGGCAAGGGCTGAATCATGCGCAGATGAGGGCGCTTGGGTCAGGAGGATGGCCCCTGGGGGCCAAGCTGTTGTCTCAACATGAGTCACAGATGTCCCCTGTGGGGGGCAGGGCAGCAGCGACCCAGGATGTTGGTGCTCTGCCCTCATCCTTGGTATGAACACTTTCAGGGGTCGCATCCCCTACCAAGACAGCTCATTCTATTTGTGGACAGTTTTGTTCGTTTTTTCTTTTCTTTCTTTTTTCTTTTTTTTTTTTTTTTTTGGTCTTTTTTTTTATGTCTTTTATGTCTTTTTTTTATGTCAAATATCTGGGTCCCTAAGACTTGTGCTCACAGGTTTTGCTTCTGTCCTCTTGAGTTATAAAAAACAAATCCTACCTACTTTGACACCCAGTGCCTGTCATCTCCCAGGGATACCGGGCTGTAGTTCCTCCTACCCCTCCCCCGCCCCTCCCCGGGGCCGCTTGGCTTTCTCAACAGGGCACCGACTCCTCTGCCTCACGCCCCAGGCCGGAAGGCAGCGCTCCGGGAAGCTCAGCCTCCTTTCATCAACTTGGACGTGGACTGCCAGGGTGGCTGGTAAAAGCTAGTAAAAGTACAAGCTTTCGGAAGGAGCAGAACGAAAGCAGATGGTGTTGCTGACTTGGGGGTCCCGCTCAGAGTGCACAGCCCGGGAGGGGTCTGGGGCCAGTACTCCGCTTGGCAGGGCGAGGAGGGGGCGTCCTGCAGGAGACGGGACCTTGGGCAGGGGCCGGGGCCTCTTGGGGGCGTTCTGAGCAGCAGGTGCAGGAAGGATAGCTCTAGGATCCCTCCCAGCTCGACTTGTAAACCTCTGGGAGGGAGAGAAGATCCCCTGCCAGGTTCCTGAGGTTTCCAGCAGGGCCTCTGGAGCGCATATGCTAATGCAGGTGTGTGAGTGCATGCCGTGTGCATGGTGTGTGGGTGTGCACGCTGTTTGCACGGCTGTGTGCCCGTGCTGTGTGCCTGTGTGCACCTGTGTGGTTAAGGGGGAGACCTGAAACTGCTGAAGAGTTCCTGTGAAAGGCAGGAGGGGGGGGAGAGCCCAAAGAAGATCTATTATTTTCATTGTAACATTATTTAAATATGTACAAACAAAATCAGATATGAATCCTCTATTCCGATTGCTTCCATTCAACTGATTTTATTCAAATTTACCTAACAAATATAAACAAAACTGGAAAAAAACACTAAATCCCGGTTCACAGCTTTAATATAATGTAGATGAGGCTTGCTTAAGTTAAACTGGGGCTTGCAGTGGAATGCTGACTTGCTGGATGAGAACTCTGGGCTTGCTCGGATCCCTGCAAAGCTTCCCTTCACCGGCACCGGACACTGTCCCACCACCTGCCGGCACCTCCTGCAGCATCTTCCCATAGAAAGTGCTCAATAAATGTTTGTTAATTAATGGAATATATAAGTAAAGGAAGAAAGTCCTCCTCTACTCTTTTCTTTAGGAGAATTATTTGGCACACTACAATAATAAGCACAAAAATACACAGAACACAGAAATGCACATACGATGCATAACATGATCATCTAAATTGAAATATGATATAAAATTTCCCAGAGTGAGAATCCAATGCCCACTCAGAAGCTTGGCTTTGGGGGAAACTGTTGTTCTCCCCTCTACCTGGCTGCCCGACTCCATTCTTTTTTTTTTTTTTTTTTTTTAATTTTATTTATTTGTCAGAGAGAGAGAGAGAGAGAACACAAGCAGGGGTAGCAGCAGGCAGAGGGAGAGGGAGAAGCATGTTCCCTGCCCAGCAAGGAGCCTGATGCGGGGTTGATCCCAGGACCCTAGGACCATGAACCAAGCTGAAGGCAAATGTCCAACCAACTGAGCCACCCAGGCGCTCCTGCCCACCTGCCATTCTGCCTGACTCAGGGCACAGCTTCCCTGAGCAACATTATGAATCTGTATAATTAGAATAAAATACCACTCACTCTGAATCAGATCTCAGACCTCAGGCAAGGGTGAAACTTCACAAAGAATGTGAGAATTTTTTTTTTTTTTTAAAGTAACGGGAGCTATTCAGTCGTGAATGACTCAGCTTCCTGAAGACGAATGAAGCTTCTTCCCATCTTGCTGAAGAGTGAATTTAAGAAGAAAGAAAGACAGGGGTCCCTGGGTGGCTCAGTCGGTTAAGGTTAAGCTTTGCCTTGGGTCAGGTCTTGATCCCAGGACCCTGGGATCCAGTCCCGTGTTGGGCTCCCTGCTTAGCAGAAAGCCTGCTTCTCCCTCTCCCTCTGCCTGCCGCTCTCCTTACTTGTGTGCTCCCTCTGTCAAATAAATAAATAAACAGATAATCTTAAAAAGAAAGAAAGACAGAAAGGACAAAAGAAAGAAAGAAACAAAGAAAGAAAGGCAGAAGTCAGTGCCGAGTGCATTTTTTCCTATTCCCTTCAATTTAACTTTTGGGATGAAAAATAGTCATTTCAACAACAACAAAATGTGGCTTATTACTGATAGTGACATAAGTTTTGATTCATTCAAGTTGAAAATACTAAAAACATATGTATCTATCAGAATGGCAATCATGGTATGGCAGAGCTCTGAATTAAAAGAAAATAGGTAATTGTTGCTAGGAAAACCATTCACACTTCAAGCCATTTATAATAATGAAAACTTTCAAAAACGTAATCAAGGGAAATTGATAAAGCAAATGAAAAACATTTAGAGGACACCAAACTTCTTAGGGTTGTCCATTATATGGTTAAAATAACAAACAGATTTAAAAATTAATTTTTAGGCATGATAATGGTTATGTCCCCAAAAGAACGCCCTACCTTTTAGAACTACAAACAGAACTATTTACAGATGGAGTAAATGATATTTGCGATATGCTTCAAGATACTTTGGAGTGGGGCAGGAAGTAAATGAGAATATAGCTGAAACAAAAGTACTCATGAATTGACCATTCTTCATGGGTCCAGAGGGGTTCATTATGCTATTTTCTCTTTATGTTTAATATTTTCCATAATGAAAAGTGTTTAAAAATCAGGCATTTTCCAGGTGCTTGGGTGGCTCAGTTGGTTAAAGGTCTGGTTACAGCTCAGGTCATGATCCCAGGGTCCTGGGATCGAGTCCAACAAAGGGCAGGGAGCCTGCTTCTCCCTCTCCCTCTCTCAATAAAGAAATAAAATCTTGGGGTGCCTGGGTGGCTCAGTGGGTTAAAGCCTCTGCCTTCGGCTCAAGTCATGGTCTCAGGGTTCTGGGATCGAGCCCCACATCGGGTTCTCTGCTCAGCAGGGAGCCTGCTTTACCTCTCTCTCTCTGCCTGCCTCTCTGCCTACTTGTGATCTCTGTCTGTCAAATAAATAAAATCTTAAAAAAAAAAAAGGAAATAAAATCTTTTAAAAATAATAAAATAAAATAAAGTAAAATATCTAACGTGCCTGACAAGCTGGAAACTGAAGTAAGAAGACACGATGAGCCTCGATGGGCAGCCTGTGGTGCTCGAGCCAGAAAAGCAGAGTGAAAATGCATCCCGCTGTGTATATTCACTGTCATACACAACTGGAATGGAAGTCTTTAACATTTTAGAAAAGAAAAACATTAAAAAATATCTAGGGGTGCCTGGGTGTCTCAGTGGGTTAAAGACTCTGCCTTCGGCTCCGGTCATGATCCCAGGGTCCTGGGATTGAACCCCACGTGGGGTTCCCTACTCAGCGGGGAGCCTGCTTCTCCTTCTCCCTCTGCCTGTCACTACCCCCGCTTGTGTGCTTGTACACCTGCTGTCTCTCTCTCTCTCTCTCAAATAAATAAAATCACTGAATGTTGCACTTTAAATGGGTGAGCCACAAGAATGTGAATTACAGTTCAATAAATTTGTTATTTAAAATAAAGAAATAGGGGTGCCTGGGTGGCTCAGTGGGTTAAGCCTATGCCTTCGGCTCAGGTTATGATCCCAGGGTCCTGGGATCGAGCCCCACATCGGGCTTTCTGCTCAGTGGGGAGCCTGCTTCCCTTCCTCTCTCTTTGACTGCCTCTCTGCCTCCTTGTGATCTCTGCCTCTCAAATGAAAAAATAAAATCTTTTAAAAATATATCTAAAAGAGAGATTTGAAAATTATAAATTATAGTCTAGGAGAAGCACCAATACTTTTGATTTTATCAGAAAGAACATTTTCTGTTATTAAAAATAACAGATTAGGGCACCTGGGTGGCTCAGTTGGTTAAGCGTCTGCCTTCAGCTCAGGTCATGATTCCAGGGTCTTAGGATCGAGCCCCACCTTGGGCTCCATGCTCAGCGGAGAGCTTGCTTCTCCCTCTCTGTATCCCTGCCGTTCTGCCTACTCGTGCTCTCTCTCTCTCTGTCAAATAAATAAAAACCTTAAAAAAAATAACAAGTTAATTCCATAAATTATAAAATTAGTCAAATATTTAAAATAAACCAAGCTTGAAGGAGAAGACACTATTGAAATGGAGGCACAGGAAACACCATTTGTGGATACACACCAACTCCAGGAGAAAACTATTTTTTTCCCATCGATTATGTCTAACCAATTATATTACATTTATATTACAATTACATTACAACACACTTGTGGTTTGATGACAAAAGTGAAAAACAGAACAATGTTTTACATTATTTCAACTTATTGTATTATGTTCCATGGCTTGAAAATGAAAAAACAACAAGAGGAAGGCACTTACTAAATAACGGCATTCTAATAGAATCTAGAAAAAATCTAGAGTTTTTTCACAGGTTGGATAATGACGGAGATACTGTATAAAATCTCAGGCCATGTTAGAGAAGTCTAGAAGTCCTTTGAATGGAATTACTGTTGGTTTCGTAGCACTCATGAGCATGAAGAGCAAATGCCACTGAGGCAAAGAGCAGTTCTCCATACAAGACACCCAATGTCTATTGATGTCATTCCGTGTCAGACCATGGCTCAGACAATGGCATCATTTAGCTAGCAGTCACCAAGTCATACGGGGAGGTCACATGAACATTTCCTAAAAACCAAAAAGTGATTGAAAATTACTAAAATGATTTAAACAAATTATGCTACAACTTATATCACATGATTGGGAGTTTTGTAATACATAGGTTTTTAAAAAAGATTTTATTTATTTATTTGACAGCGAATACAAGCAGGGGGAGTGACAGGCAGAGAGAGTGGGGGAAGCAGTCTTCCCGCTGAGCAGGGAACCAAAGCGGGGCTCGATCCCAGGACCCTGAGATCATGAACTGAGTCAAAGGCAGATGCTTAACGGAGTCACCCAGGCACCCCTTATAATACATAGTTTTGTTTAACTAGGAATAAAAATATGTCATTTTGTATTTTTTTTTTATTTTATCTTTGAGAGACATAGAGTGCGCATGTACAGGATGGAGGGGGGAGGCAGAGGGAGAAGATCTTAAGCAGACTCTGTGCTAAGCTTGAGCTGGACTTGGGGCACAGTCTCATGACCCTGAGATCATGACCAGAGCTGAAATCAAGTCGGGTGCTTAACCTACTGAGCCACCCAGGTGCCCTTCATTTTGTATTTTGATTGATCGAGTCAAGTTTTATGGTACCAGTGCCTGCCATTTTTTTTTTAAAGATTTTATTTATTTATTTGACAGTGAGAGATCACAAGTAGACAGAGAGGCAGGCAGAGAGAGAGAGGAGGAAGCAGGCACCCTGCTGAGCAGAGAGCCCATGAGGGGCTCGATCCCAGGACCCTGAGATCATGACCTGAGCTGAAGGCAGAGGCTTAACCCACTGAGCCACCCAGGCGCCCCTGCCTGCCATTTTTTAATATCACCCTGTGTTTGCCAGACAAACATGTTTTGGTTTGGTTTGGTTTGGTTTTGAGCATGTGGTTGTTTGTTACTGCAACAGAGCTGACTAATACACAAGGGATGCCAAAGCTGTGTCCAAAAACAGGTGGGAGGGGACATGGAAGACATGTATAGTGCAAAACAGACATGTTTTCTTGAAGACGCCTACAAAATGCAGGTGCTAGTTCCAAGTTCTTTTATTTTACCAGCTGTGGTGACTTTGGCGGAGTTAACTGATATTGCTCAGATTTCATTTCTTCATCTGTAAAATGGGTATAATGTTACTTTTCCTTCCCAAGAGCAATGTTATAAGAATAAGACAAGGCTAAAACAGACTGAAAATATGAATATAAACACAGACAGTAAGGTTCTATTAAATAATGGCAGGAAGACACATAGTTCCTGAGAGCATGAAAAAAATAACAAAAATACTAATAAAAATATCAAAGGCATGTCACAAATGAGCAAAATAGTTTACAAAAACAGACACTCAGGGGCACCTGCGTGGCTCAGTGGGTTAAAGCCTCTGCCTTCAGCTCAGGTCATGATCTCAGGGTCCTGGGATCGAGCCCCGCATCGGGCTTTCTGCTCAGCAGGGAGCCTGCTTCCCCCTCACTCTCTGCCTGCCTCTCCGCCTGCTTGTGATCTCTCTCTGTCAAATAAATAAATAAAATCTTTTAAAACAAAAACAAAGTAAAAACAGACACTCAAATGAACTCAATTCATAAGACATGGGCAACAATTCCCTCAATGCTCCTCTCAAAGTTGACTCGTCTCTTAGGCTCCTGGGGAGACGAGATTTTCCTCCCTGCTGGGGCAGAGGGTCTTGCTGGGTTCGGGAGGCCCCATGATGGCAGGTTTGGTATTTTCACACCAAGCCTTCAGTGTGCGTGCCTGGCCTGCCCTGGGCCCTCTCAGGGTGATCAAGATGAGAACACGACCAGGTAACCATGACCCCTTCGGCAGGGCCCCAGAGTGAGGTATGTGGCCCAGGGCTCCCCTTGTCCCCCAGCCTGGAGCCACACGCAGAGCTGTCAGCCAGGTCGGGGGCAGAGTGGAGCGACAAGAAAAGAAAAAAAATGCCTGTTGTTCAAGCCACTGTGTTTTGGGGCAATTGATGGTGGACATCTCTCAGCAACAGCAAATGGCACCCCCAGGTGGCAGAGTCCGTGCTCGTCTTGGTTGTCTTGGCCATGGCGGGGGCCCCTTCCCTCTGCACAGCACCCCTTCCTGCTCTTCGGGTGAGACACACACATCGTTCTTTGAGGAACAGCTGGTGCTCAGCTCTCCAATGTCTGGATGGAGCTGCCAAACCCAAAACCACCCGTGTGTCGCCCGGCCCAGGCTGGTCTAGCGGCGTCCGTGGTCCTTGCCATCTAAAAAGCCCCAGAGACCAAGCCTCATGGAAACAAGAGGACGAGCACAGGGGTAGTGGAGTCGGGGCCCTCACTGCTCCCGTAGTCGCTCATGACTGTCCCCCGCCCCTTCACTCTGAGTCGCCATTGTGGACAGGGTTCAAAGCAGGAAAAACAGCCACCTTGGGCAGCTCCAGCATGGAAGGGTCTCGCACAGGGAATTAGGTGCTCACGTCAGTGGGGGGCTGGAGTCAGGGCTGCCTGAGCTCTGGTGCCCCTGATCCTCGACACACCCACTGGGTCCGAGTGGGTCTGCTGGGTGCTGCAGGGCAGCAGGAGCAAGACGAAGAGTTCTGCTTCCAAACCAGTGCCCCCACCCCGCCCCAGCATCTCGCTGGCCATGTGCCATTTGCAACCAGAGTCCTTGCCACAGGGAGGGCAAAAATTCAGTTCAATTGTCCAACCTCTCCTGAAAGGAGGGGAGTTTTAGATACCCACAAGGATTCTGATCCCCTTGTTGGGTCAGTCATGTTCCAAATAACTTCTTTTTCTTTCTTTTTTTTTTTTTTTTTAAGAATTTTAATTTGTTTATTTGAGAGAGAGAGCATGCACAAGCAGGCAGAGTAGCAGGCAGAGAGAGAAGCAGGCTCCCTGCTGAGTAAGGAGCCAGATGTGGGACTTGAACCGAGGACCCTGGGAAGATGACCCAAGCTGAAGGCAGTCACCCAACCAATTGAGCCACCCAGGTGCCCCCCCAAATAACTTTTTTTTTAAAGATTTTATTTATTTATTTGACAGAGAAAGAGATCACAAGTAGGCAGAGAGGCAGGCAGAGAGAGAGACGGAGAAGCAGGCTCCCCGCTGAGCAGAGAGCCCGATACGGGGCTCGATCCCAGAACCCTGAGAGCATGACCTGAGCTGAAGGCAGGAGCTTAACCCACTGAGCCAACTAGGTGCCCCCCAAATACCTTCTTTAAATTTTTTTAAAAAGATTTTATTTATTTATTTGATAGAGAGAGACACACAGAGAGAGGGAACACAGGCAGGGGGAGAGGGTGAGGAAGAACAGGTTTCTTGTGGAGCGGGGAGCCCTACGTGGGGCTGGAACCCAGGACCCTGGGATCATGACCTGAGCCGAAGGCAGACGATTAATGACTGAGCCACCCACGCGCCACATTCTATAAATTTTTTAATGTTTTTATCATTACAAAATAGTGATTGAGATGCTCATTATCATGATTACCCTGCAGATGAGGAAGCCTAAAATCTAGAATTTCAGTCCCTTTCTCAAAGTCCCACCAGTACCAGCCCAGAGGCCTTGATCCACCTCTTCCTGCACCCTGGGAGCCCAATTGCTGTTGCAATTGGTGGAGCACATGGACCTGGAATGGGGCTTGGCAGGTAGCAGGCATCATGAATGCCTGGGAAGGAAACATCTTTTACATTGAGGAGAAAGAAAGACGTTACAGAAATTCAATATACTGACCCATTTATTTTCCCATTTCATCCTGGAAAAGGCAAATTAAGCCTTTACTATAAATCTGCCAGGAACACAGCCTTTTCTTTCTTTTCTCAGGAAAGAAGTGGACGGTCAAGGTTTCTTTAAGAAATGCTTCCACGTGAACTTGGGTTCAGGATCTTATGTATAATCTGCATATTTTAAAAGTTTCTGTATTGCCAAAAGGGTTTTTATTGATTGATTTATAAAAAAGGATTTTATTTATTTATTTGACAAAGAGAGACACAGTGAGAGAGAGAGAACACAAGCAGGGGGAGTGGGCAGAGGAAGAAGCAGGCTTTCTGCAGAGCAGGGAGCCCGATGTGGGAGTTGATTCCAGGACCCGGGGATCATGACCCAAGCCAAAGGAAGACGTTTAACGACTGATCCACCCAGGCGCCCCTATTGATTGATTTTTAATGCTTCCTCCATTCCCGGGAACTATGAGTGAGAAAGCTCTTCCCTAACCACAGATCTGACCATGGTCCCCGGCCAATCCACGTTTCTGGAGAAAATCCCCACCTGCCCCCATGTGGCCCCAGGTTCAGCTTTCAGGCAGGGTGGGCTGAAGGGACATCCCGGGGTCTTATTACAGCTGAAGCCTGAGGCTTACACTGAGTATGTTCCCCTCTGCAGAGCCTCCTTGCTGTGCTGTCTCCTCTGACGGCACTGAGGTCTGCAGGTGGCCCGTGTTGCTGCCCCCCACACTGTGCTCCGCACTCCGCCCTGCCACCCGGGTCCTAGAGATGGCAGGGCAGAACTGCCCTTAGCTTGTTCTGGAAACAGAAAAAGAACAGAAGGGCACCCACATCATGCCCCAGCCACGACATGAAAAAGGCTTCCTTTTTCCTCCTGGTATCCTTGCGCCACAATTCCAGCGTCCCCAGAACAACAGTCAAGGGCAGGGCTGGGTATCCGCAGCTGTCTGGGCGTCACCCACCTGCTGTGGCATTCCTCGGGAGGGTTGCTGCCTGCCAGGCCCTGTTGAGAAGGCAGATGGCCACATAAAAATAGTCAGGGAGCCCTTGAGGTGCCACTTCTCCAGCTGCTCTGTTGAGTGGAAGCCAGATGAGAGAGGGGACAAGGCATGGCCTCTGTTTGAAGCAGAGGCTGGCACTCAGTGTGTCTGTCTGGTGGGAGAGCGCAGCCTCTCGCCCAGGGAGGATGAACAGGAAGGGCAGGGAGACGATCTCATTCTCCAGGAAAGCCTTGTGACCCCCCAGCTCTCCCTGGAATAAACACCAGACAAAAGAGGTCTTCCTGTTTCATCAGTTTCCAACCAATTCCATTGTAGCTGAAACACTGTTGCATTATGCCAGCAGAGATCCAGACCCTGAGCTCCCAGCCCCATTTCTTGTTTAAGAAGCTAGGATCTAGGCAATGGGGAGTTATTCATTAGCAGACATAAAGTTTCAGTTGAGCAAGATGAGGAAGTTCTAGACATCTGCTGTGCAACCTTGTATCTATAGTCAATAATGATTGAGTGCAGAGGAGCCTGGGCGGCTCAGTGGGTTAAGCCTCTGCCTTCAGCTCATGTCGTGATCCCAGGGTTCTGGGATCGAGCCCCACATCGGGCTTTGCTCAGTGGAGAACCTGCTTCCTCCAATCTCTCTGCCTGCCTCTCTGCCTACTTGTGATCTCTGTCTGTCAAATAAATAAACGAAAATCTTAAAAAAAAATAATGATAGAGTGCATGCTCTTGCTAAGAGAGTAGATTTCACTTTAAGGGCTCTTATTATACAACAAAATGAAAAAGCAGCAGTTAGAGTTGAAGAAGGAGTCACAGGGCACAAGTTACTTGGCCTCTCTCGGTCTTGGTTTCCTCCTCTGTAGCAGAGCGAATAAGACCTGTCTTGGGGGGGCGCCTGGGTGGCTCAGTGGGTTAAGCCTCTGCCTTCGGCTCAGGTCGTGGTCTCAGGGTCCTGGGATCGAGCCCCGCATCGGGCTCTCTGCTCAGCGGGGAGCCTGCTTCCCTTCCTCTCTCTCTCTGCCTGCCTCTCTGCCTACTTGTGATCTCTCTCTGTCAAATAAAATAAAATAAAATAAAATAAAAAAAAGACCTGTCTTGGGAAGGACGGCCTTAAACGAGATACGTTGCTTAAAGCACGATGCTCCCTCTTCAGAGTACTGTGGACACGGCCCCAGACATGGCTTCATCTTTCCTGATCAAGTGAGTGAGCCCTATAGCCTATATTGGGCAGTGAGTCACAGAGACATTTCAGGAGGGATAAGCTAAAGAACTGGGAGATAAGCTGTCAGGGTGGGTGGAGAGCAATGCTTTCTGAATCACCAGGCCAGCTGAGAAGTGAGGGAGGGGTTGCCACGAAATTCCTGAGGACAGCTGAGACAGCTGGGAGCGGGTGGCCCCCAGTCTGAACTGAGCTGAACCCTCCAAAGCAGTCTCTTCCTACAGAGGAGGAAGGATAAGAACGTCACATTGCTTTGGTCTGGCACTTTCAGGTCTGCGGGCATCTTCAGGTCTGTTACGTCAGGTGCTCCCAGCAAGCCTGCCAGGTGGAAAGACCCACCCCACTCCAAAGCCCCAGAGCAGCGGCCGTGGGGCTTGTTCCCTGTCTTCCCAGATGCCCTCCCCGCACACCTGCAGAAGCACCCAGGGCCATGTCCACAGCTAAGATGAAAACTCAGTCCCTAACTAGCCCCGGGGGTGGGGTGGGGCAGAGAACTAGGCACAGTTGATTATAATCAGTTGTAAACCATTCTGACTCTGCTTTTAAAACTCCATCCGAATTTATATTTAATTCTCAGGAAACCCTGGTGGACACATCTTTGTTCAGGAAGGCAAGGCTAAATTTTTCCTCATTTCCCATTATGATATTCTGGGCCCTCCCTTTAGGAAGGGGAAGCCCTCTGCACTGCAAATTTTCTTGCATTCTACTTCGTTTCCAATCATTTACTGGATGCAGGTGCCTAATGAGCCGTGTGCTGAGTGCTGCATACAGGACATCTAGTCTCTAACCTTGGGAATTTACGGTCTGGTCCAGGAGGGAAGAATTCTAGATGTGGGACACCTGGAGAATATGATCATGGAGACAGAGTGCATGATACTGGGGTTGGGGCAGACTGGAAGTTCAATGCTGACTTACCTGTCTGGTGATGTCATGTCCAATGGGAATCTAGGACCAGAAAAAGAGCACATCATCTAATTCCAACCCGGGGGTGGGGGTGATGCACATTAACTTAATTTAATCCAAGCCACAGCAGTTAATCGCAAAAACCCCAACAGTCCCATTTGTGCTTTTAGTTGGGAAAGTGTAGCAGAGCTTTAACTATTTTTCCTGGCACTGTTTCATTACATAACAGCTCAGTGAGTGATAGGAAGGGCTGGAGAAGGGATGAACAGGTCCAAACGTCCCGGACACGTCCCAGGGCAGGGAGAGGCCAGCTGACACATGCCAGGAGGAGGCGAGGGATGTGGCCTGAGGGGCTCTGACAGAGGCAGCAGGCAGAAGTCCCAAAGGTGGGAACGCCTGGGTGGCTTAGTCATTAAGTGTCTGCTTTCGGCTCAGGTCATGATCCCAGGGTCCTGGGATCTAGCCCCGCATCGGGCTCCCTGCTCAGCAGGAAGCCTGCTTCTCCCTCTTCCATTCCCCCTGCTTATGTTCCCTCTCTTGCTGTGTCTCTCTCTGTCAAATAAAAAAATTAAAAAAAAAAGGAAAAAAGAAGTCCCAAAGGTGGACGGAGCAGATTGCCAGAGTTCCAAGCAGAAGATATAGGTAGAGGTGATGCTGAGAGGAGCAGGAAGCAAGAAGGACCAGGAAGCTGCACGGGGAGAGTCTCCAGGTCCTCAGGAGGCTCAGGCTGGGGGACCCAGAGCAGAGTCCAAGTCACAGGGAGATAAAGTTCCACGGCGGGAACAAAGGGTCAAAATTCAGGGCAGCAATAAATTAAATTAGATCTTCTTTCTAGGAGTCAATGGACACAAGTTCAGACCTGTAAGATTTTTGTCACAAAAAAAATGTATCCTGGCAGGCATGCAAACGCTCATTGGATTCATCACGAACAAGATGCTAGCAACTCCGGTCGACCTCAGGAGGAGAAGGCGGGGCTCGCAAGAGGTCCCCAGGAAACCCCGGTTCCTGGGATGTGGTGCACATTAACTGGGATGTGGTGCCCGGAGGGTTGGAAGCATCATGTGGTCACCCTCACTGCTGGGGCTTCCCAGCCTTGTTGGGAGACCCCACATCTCATTAACATGGTCCCTTTGGGTCCTAGGCATCTAGTCGATTATTCTTGCGCTTTCTTGGGGCAGCGAGGGGAGGATGTGGGGAGGGGGTCTGCTCTGCCTGTGCAAATAAGTCCCATTGAGATTCTCCTTCCATGATGGTTCCCATATAACTGCCCTTCCTTACACACTTATTGGCAGACTCATTCATTCAACTTCCATCACTTTCTTCCTTAATATTAACATGAAAAAAAAATGTTTCCAAGTCATTTAATAGTAAGAATGATGGCAATCACTGTTTATGCCCAGCATATCAAGTTATGATAATTGTTTCTTTTTCTTATTTGTTGCAGAGGTTACTAAAATTTCATGACAATTATAATCAGTCGTAGCCCAGTGTTTTGGATGCAGTAAACACTCAACATTTGCTGAAGAAAAGGATGAATACATCAATGAATCATCAACACTCAAAACAGCATCCTATGACAGAAGCAGACAGAACAGAATGATGTGGCTCTGACCTTGGAGCTTTGATCCCCCAGGCCCTGCCAGGGAGCCGGTCCAGCAAGGCAGAGGGAGAGTGCCGGAGAGACGGGCATGGGTGCTAACCCCAGGGGCAGATCCGTCTGTGGGAACACATGGCGGGTCTTCTCTATATTTCTCCTTTTCCTTTTACGCATGGAGGTCTCTCTCTTCCTTTTTGTCCTCTTCCTGCCTTCTCCTTTCTCTTCCCTAATAGAACTGAACACTTACTGTTCATCAACGAGGTAAATATTTGTTTGATGACAGGAATCTATCAAAATCCTAGAGGAGAGGGGCACCTGGGTGGCTCAGTTGGTTGAGCGTCTGTCTTTGGCTTGGGCCACGATCCCAGGGTCCTGGGATCAAGTCCTGCATCAGGCTCCTTGCCCAGCGGGGAACCTGCTTCTCCCTCTGCCTGCCGCACCCCCTGCTGTGCTCTCTCTAACAAATACATAAAATCTTAAAAAAAAAAAAAAATCCTAGAGGAGAACATAGGCAGCAACCTCTGTGAACTCGGCCACAGCAACTTCTTGCTAGACTCGTCTCTAAAGGCAAGGGAAACAAAGGCAAAAATGAACTATTGGGACTTCATCAAGAAGAATGAAGAATCTTCATCAAGAAGAATATTACAGCAAGACAAACAGTCAACAAAACCAGAAGAGAACCGACAGAATAGGAAAAGATATTTGTAGATGACGTATGAGATAAAGGGCTAGTATCCAAGATCTATAAAGAACTTCTCAAACTCAACACCCAAAGAACAAATAATCCAATCAAGAAATGGGAGAGGACATGAATAGACATTTCTGCAAAGAAGACATCCAGATGGCCAACAAACACATGAAAAAGTGCTCCACATCACTCAGCATCAGGGAAATACAAATCAAAACCACAATGAGATTCCACCTCACACCAGTCAGAATGGCTAAAATTAACAAGTCAGAAAACAACAGATGCTGCCCAGAATGCGGAGAAAGGGGAACCCTCCTACACTGTTGGTGGGAATTCAAGGTGGTGCAGCCAGTCTGGAAAACAGCATGGAGCTTCCTCAAAAAGTTGAAAAATAGAGCTACCCTATCACCCAGCAATCGCTCTACTGGGTATTTACCACAGAGATACAAATGTAGTGATCTGAAGGGGTACCTGCACCCCAGTGTTTATAGCAGCAATGTCCACAAGAGCCAAACTATGGAAAGAGCCCAGATGTCCAGATGTCCATCGATAGATGAATGGATAATACACACACACACACACACACACACACACACACTCATAATGGAATATTACTCAGCCATCACAAAATGAAATCTTGCCATTTGCAACGATGTGGATGAAACTAGATGGTATTAAGCCCAGCGAAATAAGTCAGAGAAAGACAATTATCATATGATCTCACTCATATGTGGAATTTAAGAAACAAAACAGGATCGTAGGGAAAGGGAGGGAAAAGTAAAACAAGATGAAATCAGAGAGGGAGACAAATCCTAAGAGACTCTTAATCATAGGAAACAAACTGAGGGTTGCTGAAGGGGCGGGGGTAACTGGGTGATGGGCCTTAAGGAGGGCACGTGATGTAATGAGCCCTGGGTGTTATATACGACAGATGAATCACTGTACTCTACCTCGGAAACTAATTATGCACTATATGTTAATTAATTGAATTTAAATTTTAAAAATAAATAGGTAATTAAGTATTTCTCTTCCTCTCTCACACACACAACCTTATAAATCACACAATCACTTAAATCAATTTCTGTTTCATTTAACATAAATTTTTTACAGCCCTATGACTGCAACAAAACAAAGTTGTCATCTGCAGTTCTAGAACTGAGAGATTAATGCGTTTATATGGTACGTACTTGAAGACAAACGTGCTGAGTGCCTGCTCTTGGGCAACCTTCTCATTAAAGTAAAGACCTTTACATCCCCAGTACATAATCTGCCCAACAATCGGATAAGCCTGGAGTTATACCCCCCATTTCTCCAGGTGGCAGAGTGGAAACTAAATTTATTCTGTCCAATCTCAAAGCTCCACAAGGCACCATTTCTAGCCACCACACTTTATTAGCGGGACAGTTTTCTGCTCTAACATTCCCAAGGAGAGGATACTGCAGAAGTCACGTAGAAAGGGACAGAGAACACTTTGCACATGAAACTGTCAGGGGTGGTCCGCATAGGACGGATGTGAGTAAAGTGGCCCAGTGGGGTACACAGACTTTTATTGGAGTGACTCCCATCACGTTAGGGCTAACTCCAGGTAGAGGTGGCAGAAGTGTCCTTCCCTTTCTCAGGGACAGGCTGGGGGCCTCCCAGAGGCCACCTCCAACTAATCAGGGCAGGACCCCATATCTTCATTCACACACACACCAGACCTCAAGCCCCTGCCAGCTGAGCCTCTAAGGTATTTCTTCTTTAAGGGAAAAGCACAGGCTTTGTCTCTCTCTCAAAGAATTCCAGGCATCCAGAGACCAGGAGAGGAGGTCTGGGGGTTAGTGAGGATCTCCCTCTTCAAAAAGATTCTCAGCCTCAGATTGCAATGAGCTCTTTCCTGCACTGTTCCTCTCTGCCTCTCTTCTGGAAAGAGGGCTAACAATCCTCTGAATCATAGCATTTGCTCCAGTGATTCCACTTTTACGGACGCATCTTCAGTTCTAAGTTCAAAAACATTTCATGCACAAAGATGTTTGTTGAAGCATTATTGACAGTAGCTGGAAACTGGAAACAGCGTGGATAGCCAAACAGAAGGGAATAATTAGAATATTCTATAAAATGCTGTGCAGTCGTTAAGGATGGTCTTTATGGAGGCGCCTGGGTGGCTCAGTCATTGTGTCTGCCTTCTGCTCAGGTCATGGTCCCGAGTCCTGGGATCGAGCCCATCATTGGGCTCCCTACTTAGCAGGAAGCCTGCTTCTCCCTCTCCCACTCCCCTTGCTCTCGCTGTCTCTGTTTCTGTCAAATAAATAAATAAAATCTCAAAAAAAAAAAAAAAAAGGTTGGTTCTTATGGAGCACCATACAAATGTGAAAAAGATACACCTTCAAAGTTCAGTGTTTCAAAGCCCACGGGCCACACGAACCTAATTAAGTTTAAGAAAACTGGTTGTAGAATAAGACTGCCAGGACCGGTTCCTGGAAGGGAGGAGGTGGGTGATGGGGATTAAGGAGGGCACTTGTGATGAGCATTGGCGGTTGTATGAGGTGAGAAATCATTAAATCCTACACCTGATACTAAAATTACACTATACGTTAATTAAAAAAAAAAAAAAGACTGCCAGGAAATGCATCCACATGTTAATTAATTAATTAATGGTGTTTTGGGGGTTGGATTTTGTTTTTTGTTTACTTTTCAGTTTTTTCCAACTTTTGTGAAGCTTGTCTATTACCACCCCACCCCTTTTAAAAACTGTGGTTTAAAAAAAGGGCACAACATAAGATGTACCATCTTCACTATTTTATTTTTTTTATTTTTTTATTTTTTAAAGATTTTATTTATTTATTTGACAGACAGAAATCACAAGCAGGCAGAGAGGCAGGCAGAGAGAGAGGAAGGGAAGCAGACTCCCTGATGAGCAAAGAGCCCGATGCGGGGCTTCGATCCCAGGACCCTGAGATCATGACCCGAGCTGAAGGCAGCGGCTTAACCCACTGAGCCACCCAGGCGCCCCCCATCTTCACTATTCAGCACATTCACAGTGTTGAGCAACAGATCTCCAGAATGTTCAACTTGCAAAACTCATCTACTAGTGTTTAATGGGAAAATAATATAACGATTATTTTAAAAAATATAAAGTACGCAAGGCTAGCCTTGAACGTCGTCCTGATTCAGCTGGTTTTACAAATCCCTGGATGGAGGCGCCTTTCCTACCTGTCTCTGGCCTCCAGCCTAAGTCACCTGGCTGGAACATTCCGGAGCCCCTTCTCCCCGGGGCAGCTCCCCATCAGGGCCTCTGCCCCTCTCAGCACTTCTCTCCCCTCCTCCATAGCGCCTGTGTGTGCTGGGGCCTCGGGGCCTCACACCACAAACCCTGCAGTGTGTGTGGTCAAGATAAGGGGTAAGGGGGAGAGAGAATGAGGGAAAGGTCCCCTGAGTGTGTTCTCGGGGTGCCAGGGGACCCCTGGATGTTTGGACTCCAGGCCTTTGCATCTGGTCACTCAACCCCTTCATGTTGCTGAGGAAGAAGCTGAGACTTGAAGGTCATATCGGGGATCGGAGCCCAGGATTCTGTCACCTCACACAGAGCCCTTCCTTCTAGAACAGACTGAAGACTGTTATATTAGGCACAGTATCAGAGAAAATGGTCAGCGTTGGAGCTGATTCCATGACTGGGAAAATACAAAGTTAGGTTGGGCTGGGTAAAGCCATCTGACTACAGCAAGACATGCTGCCATTTTTGCCACATTGCCACACAACAGGGCAACACTTCCATTACCAGCAGGTGGCTGTCAGGTTATATTTGTTACAAAGTTGATTTGCTATACTCAGTTCTAATGCATGAATGTTTATTCTTCATTGTGTACTTTATGGATATATGCTCACTGTTTTTGTTTTTTTTTTTAAGATTTCATTTATTCATTTTAAAGAGAAAATGAGAAAAAACAGGGGGAGAGGCAGAGGGACAAAGAGGCTCCCCATCAAGCTGGGAGCCTGACTGTGGGGCTCAATCCCAGGACCCAGAGATCGGGACCTGACCGAGGGCAGACTCCCAACCTTCCAAGCCACCCAGTCTCCCTGCTCATTACTTCCCTAGAAGGAGGTGAAATGGGACAACCAGGTCACATTTTAGATCAGCTGGCTCTTGTTTAAGTTAGGAAAGGTGCTAATCAGTCACAGGATATGAGAGCTGCAAGGGAATTTATTTTTTCTTTTTTTTTTTTTTAAGATTTTGTTTATTTATTTGACGGAGAATACAAGTAGTCACAGAGGCAGGCAGGGAGAGAGGAGGAAGCAGTCTCCCTGCTGAGCAGAGAGCCCACTGCTGGGCTAGATCTCAGGATCATGACCTGAGCCAAAGGCAGAAGCTTTAACACACTGAGAGACTCAGGTGCCCCCTGCAAAGGAATTTTAAGATGACCTGGTTAACTCTGGCTGATGAGGAAACGGATTTTATTTAAACCCAGGACCTCCAGGATGCAGGGTTAGGAGGCATAGTTAACTTACCGATTCATTTCCCACCTAGACCAGGACAGGCTGCCGGCAGCCCCACCCCATAGGGGCTCCCCGTGGCACTCCAGAGCGTACGGCATTCCATAAAAATATAGATATTCTCCAATCACACATCCCAAACCGGTCTTGTCTAGCAATGACCTATAAAACTGGATCTTTATTTTTGTTCCCAAGCCAAAACAAAAGCGGCTGGAGGGGGAGCACCGTGGATGGGCGCCATCACGTCACGTGACCATCCCCATCCCCACTGCCCCCGTGAACCCGATCATGGAAATTCCGAGTGGGGTGGGCTGGGGGCTGTGTGCGCGCATGCGTACATGTGTGTGTGCGTGCGTGCGTGGGCTGGGCCCAGCCACCTGTCCTTTGGCGCTTCTCTTAGCCATCCCTCTACCTTCACGGGGCAGCGTCTGTAGGTTCCTGGCTCCCAAACCAGCAGGGCTCCTGCACACATGGCCCTTGAGTTACTGTTGGGGAGCTGGGGTTAGAGCCAAAGGAGCTGCGCCCCCAGCTACCCCGCCAACATCACAGGGGCTCTAGAGTGAATGGTGATTCGCCTCCTCCCTCTCTCTTCTTGCTTGACGCAGAGGGGAGAGAGACGGTGCCCTGTTTTCAAAGACCTCCCGCCTTTGGAAGCCCTTCTTGGAGGTCCTTTTCCTCCCTTAGAGGCCCTGTTTCTCAGTCGCGTGGAACTCTCTGCTCATCCATCCCGTCTCTGTGCCCCGGGGAAGGGACAACAGCCACCACCATACTCTAGGAGGCAGCTTTTTACCAGCAGATACTGAGACTGTGGTCAGGCTGTCTGTGCCCTCTGTTCACTGGGCTCCTTCATGCATTGGTACTTCCCCGCCCCCATCCCTTCATTTGAGAAGTTGACAAACCTATAGAAAAGTAGAAAGGCCAATACAATAATCAAATGAACACCTATTGCCAAACATGTTGCCACAGACAAGACGGTCTCTGCCTTGGGCGGTACTGCTCTAGGCATGGCTGCTGGGATGTGCCCACACCACTGTTTCAGCAGCCAGGACGGGAGAAGGCCCCCTCGCAAACGTCCCAATCTGCTTCCAGGGCCACCTCCCCACCCCATGGTGGACGGTGACACTGATGTGCACAAAAGGATGGCTGTGTGGGGGCGGAGGGGGGTGCTGGGGTGCTCACAGGAACACAGGAGGCCTGTCCCATCGTGGGATGCAGTTGGAGGGGGAGAGACAGGGGGCAAGCTGAGAGCTGGGGCTGGAGGCTGGAGCCCTCCCCACTCTACTGCCACTCCTGATGCGCACCCCCGAGGCGTCTGAGAATCCTATGTTGGAACCTGGCCTGCCAGACAGGAAAAGGCAGGACAGAATGAACTCTTTAAAACTTTTGTAGGCTTAATTTATAACTACTACATCAGGCACAGGTGTCCTGTTGCTCCAGCCCCATCATGGTGAGGGCCTTAGCCATGGAGGCTGGGATACTGTCACCCACTGCCAGCGAGGTGACGCCCACTCTGAGCGTCGGTTTTCTCATCAGCACTAACATCTGCCTTGGAGAGATGTTGTGATGATTCTATAAATTCTGTAGAAAAGCGTGTGGACGTGAGCCTAAGTCACCTTAGTTACTCGCCCTCCTGACGTGGACGGTAGGCCGGTCTACAGGGAGTGTCCATCAGAAACTCCACTAAATCAACTTTCCCCCATTGAATCCTATTACCAGCCAGGTTCCTGAAGCCACTGACACCTACTTTCTGGTTCCTTCAAATACCTTGGATGCAAATCCCCACCCAAGGACTAGCATTGAAAACACGGTTATTGCCACAAACCACCAAAGCTGCGGAAGAAGACACTTTTCTTTAAGCTACTTAGTGGCTTGATTCCGCAGGGGCTGTGGGACCAGAGTTGAGCAAAGACTCCCCCAGGAACCCGAGGCCTTCCACTCCCCCACCTCCCGACACTGGACTCAGTGCCAGGAGACAGAAAAGGGGAACATGTACTTGGAGTCAATAATTAAATGGAACAGTGGCCACAAAGAGCCTAAGCAAGGGTGCCAGCTACTCTGAAGAGGACAGCCGGGTCACCTCAGGCTGAAAGTGATGGTGGCATGTGGGCAAGGCTGTGGCCTCAGGCATTGAGAAAGTGCAGGAGGGGACCAGGGCCAGGGACACAAAGGTTAAAGAAAATAATCCTTAACATCGGAAACATTTGGAAAACTCCAAAAGAAAAAAACCTTTCAAGTTCTCTGCCTCTTTCCAACCATACACTTGTGAGGACTTCCCCAAGGTTTCCTTGTATCTAAAAAGAAACTGCTGGTGCAGGTGAGGGAGCGTTGTCCCTTCCTCTTTGGGTAGCATTTCCCTTTGGCCTGGGAGGGGGCACAGTCCGGCCTTTCCAGAGTCTCCCCACCTAAAGTGCTCACACAGGGAAACTCATGCAGAAGTCTTTGGTGGATGTACATTCCAAACGAAGGTGCCACAGAACCAGAGCCCCTAGGATAATCCTTTCGCTTTACACATGAATAAACTGAAGCCCAGAGAACTGGAGTGAACACAGAGCTAATTGGAAACAAAACCAGAATTGAATTCCAAGTCACCCTGACTCACCAGCCAGTGGTCATTCCTTTCTACCACACAACACGGCCTGGAAGAGGGACTGTCACTCCCCGAGGGCCTAATTCATGCCCAGAAGTAACCTTGATTACCCCTGGCATGCCTTAAGTGTCTGCCATACGGGTACAGGAGTGAGTGAGCCCTGCCAGCTAGAAGTGTCCATAGGAGTGAACTGGAGAGAGTTCGAGGTGTGTGGGTGTCCGTGGTGGGCATGCCTATGGAGAGGGCTGGCAGCAGAGGGGCCCAGGCTGGGTGGGGCAAACAGAGGGGGTGGGGGCAGAGCCCAGAGAGCCCAGATGCCAGCCCCTAAAATGAGGACTGTGTTACCTGCTGGAAGGTGAGAAGGGAGCAGGTGCCCAGGAGGGACTGTTCAGAAAACATGGGGAAGCGGGAGGACTGGAGTTCAGAGAGAGGTCAGGGCTGTACCATGTTATAAAAGAAATACGGAGCCATGACTTGCATAGGCAGAGTTGTCTCCAAGTCCCCAGAGAGGGCTTAGTTCGTTCTGCTGAATTGGCCTGCCTTTCCGTGGCCCCTGGAGGAGAGAGAGGCCCCTGTGATTAAACTTTCCCTCTAGCGTCCTCACTCGTCCTGCATTTAAAGAACGGGCACACAGGTACACCTCGCTCGGAAGAGCAAAAGGGACCCCCCCCCCCCGCACCCAGGAGTAGGGAAGGTGAAGGGGCCAGCAGAGGTCGAAGGCAGCCCTCTGCTCCTCCTGGGGCCAAAGAGCTTTTTCATCCCTGACTCCCGATGGAGAGGCTGCGTAGACAACTGTGAAGGCGTGTGCGTGCGTGGGTGTGCGCGCGCGCGTGTGTTCGCTGTCGGATCCAGCCAGGGATTCACTTTAACTAAATCCCACTACAAAAGATTCCGGGTCGTCGGAAGCGAATGGTACGTGTATTCCGAGACGCACAGGCAGGAAAGCAAGGCCTTAAGAGCCAATGCCCTAGGTTCAGTGAGGAGGGCGAGTGTCAGAGTCACGCCGAACACTCCACTTTCGTGTCCCAAAGCCCGTCTCCCTGCAGGGTTTGCCCCGCAGCGCGGGCGGGGAGCTGGGGCGGGGGGCGCGGGGGGACTGTGAACACCCACCGCTGCCAAGCGCTCCGGCCTGGCCCCGCCGGGCTCCGGGTGGGCCCCCGCCTGCCCACGACGGCTCAGCGGGAAGGGTCTCCCTCCCGGGAGGGTCAGCAACGGGGGTGTGAGCTGCAAAATGGGGACGGCGACAGGCCAGAACCGTGTCCTTCCCGTCCGCTTTCCCACTTTGAAAGTCCCCAACGTCTAACCCTATCTCCGCCCCCAAACCCGCTTCAGTAGGCTCTTTTCCCGGCCTGACTTCCCCAGCAAGGGGTCCTCAGTTCCTCTTTCTGTTCTCCCTCCTGGGACAGAACCGCGTGGAAGCGGCCCCGGGAAGATGGCCCAGGGGGAGGCGAGCCGAGGTGGGGCGCCGGCAGCGGGGTGCCGGGGGCGCGAGGCCTGGGGCGGGGAGGAGGAGCGGAGGCCAGGAGAGAAGGGAGGCCCAAGGCCCGCCAGGACCGGAGGAGGCGCGGCCCGGGCGGGCGAGGCCCGGGGGTGGGGGCTCCGGAGGCTCTGAGGGGAGCGGGGGCGGAGGGGGCGCGGCCGGGGAGGGCGAGGCCCGCGGCCATTGGTCGGGCTGCCAGGATCGGGGGTGGAGAGCAGGCAGAGGGTCGAGTCCGGGGAGCGCGCCGCGGGCCCACAGTCTCCGCAGCGGTTCGAAGAGCCAGTTCCCTGAGCGCAGAGCCGGCGCCCGCCATGAGGGAGATTGTGCACATCCAGGCGGGCCAGTGCGGGAACCAGATCGGCACTAAGGTGGGCGTAGCACCGGGCTCCCTGAGGGTGGGCAGCGAGCAGGCCTAGGGTGTCGGGGCTTGACCCCTCGGTGCTGGCGCCCCGGTGCGCACCCTCTGTGCGCCTCGGTCCTCAGAGCCCCGTCCTGCCCTGCGCTGCACCCGGGAAGTGCTTGGAGGAGTGGCGCGGCCGAGGAGGGGGCGTCACAGCCAGGGACCCCCCCCCTCCCCTCACCCTACCCACACCCCAGCTGGGAGCGGCGGCCGGCGGCTCTGGCGCGCCTGGAATTCGGCAGCCGGGCCCCGCGCACCCCGCCCCGCCGGGCCAGCGGTGGCGTGAGCCGCGGGGGAGGGCGCCCTAGGCTCCGGGTTCTCACCTTCTGTTCCCCCGCCTTGCCCTTCTCAAGTTTTGGGAAGTGATCAGCGATGAACACGGTATCGACCCAGCCGGAGGCTACGTGGGTGACTCGGCGCTGCAACTGGAGAGAATCAACGTCTACTACAATGAGTCATCCTGTGAGTAGCGCGGCGCCGCCGGGACTCCGCCCTTCCCCGTCGGACCCCGCCGTCCCCGCCGTCCCCGCCCAGACCCTGGCCGTCCCCACCTCGGTTTCTGGCCACCCCTCAGGAACCCTAGCCATTCCGCCCCGGGCCCTCGGCCATCCCGCCTGGACCCTGGCCATGCCCCGCTTGGACCTGGGCCATTCCCCTCCCGGACCCGGCCTTCCCCCTCTGGGACCCCGGCCTTCCCGAGTCTTCTCCAATCGATCCAAGGTTAGCTCTCAGGATAACGCCCTCGCTCGGGGGTAGTTTGCCCTCGGAAGTTTTCCCGGAATATAGCAGGATGCCCGACTCCTTCCTCTCTCGTCCTGGGGCGGGAAATCCGCCGTCAGTTTCTTTCAAACAACCGAATTTGACCTATCACGGAGTCTGAACTCTTGAACCAGACAACCCGTTAGTGTTGTGAAATCACTTACTGGGTCACGTACGACTTTCTATTTTGTTTTGTTTTTCGGTTTAAAATATATCTCCTAATGGAGATTCTTGGCTAAAAATCTGAAAAGTACCCCCGTTAAATGACTTATCTGACCTTTTACCAAGGTCCAAAAGCGTTCTATGCTCTCAATTCTGGATCATTGGTGGAGTGCAGTAAAAATTCCAAGCTGTGGCATATCCAAGTTTGGGAATAATCTCACCTCTGCTCTGGGTACCTAGGTATATATTGTGGCTACATGTATACGTTATTTGTTACAGTTTTTATTATAAAAGTGATAAGTGCCCTTCACTAAACAACACCACACTAAGACTTTGAAAGGACACCCCGAAAATGACAGACCCATGACATATGTCCCCAGAAAGAATTACTCCCGTTTTTGGAGTCACTTGCTGTTTGTCCACACAAGAGCTGTGAAGAGCAGGATACATAAATCACTGGGTTTTATCCATCCAGCAGCTAGAAGGAAAGATCTGGACCAGCAGGGCATAGAATATGAAATTTCAAGATAGCCCTCAGGAAAATTCCAGTTAGGTCCTGCTTGTTAACTTGCTTTCTTCAGTCTGAGTGTGTGTGTGTAGCGGGACAGGAGTTATAGGGCAGATCCTGTGTGCAATCCCAAGTTCCTGCCCAATAGGCACTCGTTCATGAATGAGAGTGCATCCCAGAAACGGCCCCATAACCAGGCGCTCACACTACATCTTGGGTTCATGCATGTGTGTGCATGAGGGAGGTGCCAAAAAGTGGAAAGAATGTCAGAGCCACACAGTGATTTGCTGCAACAGAGACAGTTTATTTCCATGGAGCTCAAAAAGTAAAGCTTCCCAACAGGAAAGAGGTGTCAGGGTGAGGTGGAAAATACAGAAGGCAGGAAGTCAGGAGACCTGATTTCTCATCCTGCTTATTCCTGGTACTTCCTCTGCCCATTCATGCTTGGGCTGGTTTCCTCATCGGGACAACATCAGCTGGTACGGTGTTCCCCGGGTCCCCTCCCAGCACTAAGGTTCTGTCTCTGAAGAGACCCTGCTTCCTACCATCTGGGCAGCTGGGGGGACTCACTGTGGGGCAGCCCATGACCCTGGAGACCAGAAAGTGACCTTGGGCGTGGGCTTTGTTCTCTTCCAGCTCAGAAATACGTCCCCAGGGCTGCCCTGGTGGACTTGGAGCCGGGCACCATGGACAGTGTGCGGTCTGGGCCTTTCGGGCACCTCTTCCGGCCCGACAACTTCATCTTCGGTGGGTTCCCTCTCTCCTGCTTCCTTCTGCCTTTTTTCCCCCCCTCATACATCAAACTGATATATGTGCGAGATTAAAAGACAAAGAAAAGCTTAGGATGGAAATCAGCAGTCCCCAGTTCATGCCAATGTGCTGCGCCTTTTAATTCTCGACTTTTCTTTAGGAAAGTAACCTCTGTATCGCTAAAGGAAATGCTTGTATTGGTAGTTCTTGGTTTAACAGATTTTTTTTAGACATTAACTTCTTTCTTCCTCTTATAAATGATCATAATATGATGATAATCATTTGTTGGTTCTTGTGTTGCTCATCTTTCAATTGTGGTGTGTTTATACCTATGTTTCTTTTTCATTAACTCAAGGCAGTTACTCTCCTTTCTTCCCAAAGGTCGGCACCATGTAAATTTTGTTTTGTTAAAACTGGGTAAATCCTTCCCTCCTTTCTTCTACCTAAGACTTGATAAAACACCTGTCCCTCTGCAAACTCCAAAAGGAAAAAAAAAATTTAAGATTTTATTTATTTGACAGAGAAACCCAGCGAGAGAGGAAAGGGAACACCACCAGGGGAAGTGGGAGAGGGAGAAACAGGCTTCCCACCGAGCAGAGAGCCCAATGCGGGGCTCGATTCCAGGACCCTGGGATCATGACCTGAGCCAAAGGCAGACACTTAATGACTAAGCCACCCAGGTGTCCCCCAAAGAAAATTATACAACATTAAATGAAGTGACACCGTTGGTGCTACTGGCCTCCATCACCCTATAGACAATGGTTTTTAGAATCAAGATTACTTGACAGATACTCAAAGATGAATATTCAAAATCTGCACGTAGAGACAGAATCCTGAAAGATTTTATTGGTACACAAACTGATGATGACTCTGTAGCAGAGTCAGGCAGTGGCCTATTTCAATGTTACATACCGCGTCAATTAGATTCACTGATGTTCTTTCTCAAAAATTACCAGTGTAATTGAGTACGAAATGTGCCCAGAGAGAAAAATACTACTTAATTAACAGAAGTACCTCAATCAACCAAGCACAGTTTCAGTGTCTGTAAAAGGCAAAGTGTCTTACATGGAAATGAGAGAATCTTTTTTTTTTTTTTTAATATTTTATTTATTTATTTGACACACAGAGAGACAACAAGAGAGGGAATACAAGCAGGGGGAGTGGGAGAGGGAGGAGACTCCCCGCCCAGCAGAGAGCCTGTTGCAGGGCTCCATCCTGGGACCCTGGGATCATGACCTGAGCTGAAAGCAGGTGCTTAACGACTGAGTCACCTAGGCGCCCTGAAATGAGAGACTCTTAAGGCTGATTCAGGGCTTCAAGTTATCGTGATATAGAAATTAAATCTACCAAAGATCTGCTTTCCAACCCCTTCCTCAAAAGGCACCAGATAGAGACGATTTCATTGAGGGTAACAGGTAATCCTATTTAAATCCTATATATCTAGATTATCTCGTACACAGTAAGTGCTTGATAGAGGCACCTGGGTGGCTCAGTGGGTTAAAGCTTCTGCCTTCGGCTCAGCTCATGATCCCAGGGTTCTGGGATCGAGTCCCACATCGGGCTCTCTGCTCAGCAGGGAGCCTGCTTCCCTTCCTCTCTCTCTCTGCCTGCCTCTCTGCCTACTTGTGATCTCTGTCTGTCAAATAAATAAAATCTTTAAAAAAAAATAAGTGCTTGATAAATATTAGCAAATCCTAGGAAGGCAATGATGATTCAACATGGAGAAGTCTGCTAATAGATTAAGAGAGACAACATCTTAATAGGTAACCCAAAATATTTGATAAAATTCAGTATGTATTCCTGACTTGTTCAGGACAAAAACCCTTATGTGTAAGCTGGAAGTAGACAGATACTTTCTCTGTTTAACAATTATCTACCAAACCCATAGCAACGTCACACTCCCTGGTAAAACATTAGAAGTATTCCATGCAAAGTCACATATGAGAAAGAAATATCATTGCCCCTACTATTAGTCCATGTTTTGAAGGTTCTAGCTGGTACACGAAGACCAGAGAAGGAAGGGGGTTAAGGATCATTTAAAGGAAAAGACAAAATTGTTATTTGAAGGTAGACTGATTCTCTGGGATTTTCCATATAGGCTGTCCAATGAACAGTGACTGGCACTTACAAGACCTCAATAAGGCAGCTAGACACAGGATAGACATTATTGCTATCGGGTGACTAACTGTCCTGATTTGCTTGGGACTGGGGGGCTTCTCAGGACACTGCCTGCTCAGTGCTGAAACTGGTCAACTCCCAGGCAAACTGGGACAAGTTGATCTCCTTCAAGGCAATAATCAATTATAAAATATAATGGGAAAATATCTTATTCACAGTAGCAGTGAAAGTTATAAATACCTAGGGACAAAATTTACCAGTAATTGGGAATGAGGAGGAGACAAGACATTTGTCAAACAAGACATTTTTCTCTCAACAGACTGGGTAGTACTTTAAAAACCAACAACTAGTTAGGTTGTCTAGGGAGACTGAGTTGTGACCCTTGTCAGAAAGGAGCTTAATGGATTCAGCAACTCAGGAATCTTGATTCAACAGTTTCAGTTCAAGGAATCTGTCCGGAAGAAATGCTTGCACATGCAGAATGGACATTGCGTACTGGTTTCTAGAAGAGCTGGACCCCTTTGCCATCCCCCGCCCTCTCGCTCTTAGCACTGGCTGGCGTCCGTCTCGGTCAGTTCCGTGGACTGCTCCCTCAGCACCTGTGATGCAGCCTTGACTGGGAGAACATTCAGAGTTTGTATTCCCAAAAGGAAAAAAGGACGACCTCCCCCGGGCACTGGTCTTGACACAGATCAACGCCATCTTTCTCTTACTAGGGGGTATAGATTCTTAGCAGCTGTAGAATCTTCCTGGATGCACCGCTTGGCTAGGTTACTGAGTTCGGGGCACCAAAAAGAGAGAACTGAATGGGGAGAAGGGAGACTTGGCAGCTAATTTCAGTTCTACCACCTCTGGTGTTATCAGTTTACATTCTTGGGGCTCCTTCGGCTTGACGGTCTGAGGAACGAGGGGCCTCAAGCATCCAGGCCTCTGTAAGAATCTGAAGGAAGCAACGGCCTGTCTCCCCCACACGCATAGAAATACACCTGCACATAGAATTCGGCTCAGTTTCTTCCCTTGAAGGTTTTTGTTTTATTTGTCTTTTAAGATTTTAATTATTTATTTGAGAGAGAGCAAAAGAGCACAAACAGGGGGAGCAGCAGAGGGAGTAGCAGGCTCCCT